GCAAGTTGTTTGCCATACGAAAGACCAGGACAACGCCACTTTACCCACAGTCTGATGGGATGGTAGAAAAATGCAATTGGACACTTGGGCTGGAATTGGCAAAGTTTTGTAATAGCCACCAAGATGACTGGGATGTCTTACTCCCTCCACTGTTGATGACCTATAGAACAGCAGAGCATGAAACCAGTGGATACACTCCAGCAAAGTTGATGTTTGGTCGGGAACTTCGGTTGCCAGTCGGTCTGATAACAGGACGCCCACCTTATGAAGAGTTGCCTGAAAATGTATCAAAGTTCGTGAAAGTGTTATCGGAAAGGATGGATGATATTCACCATCAAGTGCATTCAAACTTGAAAACGTCTGCTGATTCCATGACGCTATGTTATGATAAGAGATCTACTGAAGTCAGCTTTGTACCAGGAGACAAGGTGTGGTTTTATAATCCCAGGAAGACCAAAGGAAGTCTTCTAAGAGTTCTTCTCCATGGGAAGGCCCATATGACATAGTGGATCATCTTACAGACGTGACTTTCCGAATAAAATGTGGTCGGCGAGGTTATAAGTTTGGTTATAAGTTATTTCCTAATGTTAGCTAGTTTGTCGCTGATATCTGGGATGTAAAGTGTGCATCAATGTAGTGTTTTTGTTTCGTTGACTTTTTGATTGTTGGTTGGCTGTCTTTTGTGTTGTTAGTTGTTGTTTATGTGTGTAATTCTTTCGATAGGTTTTGAAGGAAATTTATTACCTTTGATTGAGTGTTGTTCTAATTCGTTGAATTCGTCATTAAGGTTGCCAAGTGAGCAAAATTTCATATCTGTGTTTATTATGTTTTTTAGTATGTTGAGTTTTCGTTTTGTTTCATGTGCCGAGTTCTAGGGAATGTACAGTCCAGTATGCGTGATTTTACTATGGACTTTTGATTTATACACGCACACACACACACACACACACATATATGTGTGTGTTTATATATATATGTTTATATTTAATTCCTTGAATTCTATTAAACAAGACCGATGTCTGTAAGTTTACTTTCTTCTTAGAATTCTTCTCAAGAAGTCGATAAGCCGTCTTAACGTTGTTAGAACAACGGGTAAAAGTTGTAGATAGCGATGAGTTGGCCGACGCGTTTCGAATGCATTCTGCATCCATTATCAAGGCTGAATGTTGTGTGAATTGTGATTACTGTTGGTGGATATTTATAGGTATGGGTAAGCAGGTGGTGGTATCTAGCTCATAGAAGGCGTTAATTGGTGGAGCGTTGTATTGTGGCTTGGGGGTTTCTCGCCAAGAAGTAGCAGTATGCGTGCTGTTCCTGTCGATTGTTTGTTGATCATGGGGGTTTGCTGTAGGATTTTTATTGCTTCGCGGATTTGAAGAGATGTGAAGTCGTTAAATCGGCGG